GGCAGATCAGAAAAAAGTTTTGGAACAAAAAGTTTCTGGCTCTAAAAACCTGATTTCCCAGAAATCCGGTACTCGCAAGGCCTAGCGGCCCGTCTCATGCCGATATTCGGATTCAGCACTATTTTTTTACCTATACTCCACTAGATTTCATTTAAAAAACGATTGGTCAGTTACATATGTTCCCTCGTTAGTCCCTTTAAGTGACACTTAGCTCGAAGGTGCACACATTTAAAGGCACTTAAAGTGAGGTTTTTCCCTCTTGGGTTTGATTGGCCTGCTGTGTCTCTATCTCAACGTGAACTGGCGATAGGAGTACATTGCAAAAATTTGGAAACACAGACGCGTTTAAAGCGTATGCGAACTTTGATTTTTCTTAAAACAATTCCACCCGCACGCGCTTTAAACGTGTCCGTGTTTCCAAGCTTTTCAGTAGGATAGATCGATGCAGCTTTTCATGCTCTATCCGGATATCACATTGAAATTTAGAGAAAGCTTGCATAATAGCTTCGGAAAATCTGAGAAATTTCATATATTAGCCTACAAAATCGAGTTTTCTATATGAAAATGAGTATGATATTTCGGAATTAGCATGCTGAAATGCTGAGAATCATTTCATGTATCTGTTCATATTTACCTAATTTTTCTTCTATATAAATTCTCGTGTAGAGTTTATTCAAGAGTTTGTCACTAAAACTTCGCTACAACACAAATAATCGGCTTCGTTATTGCATATGTGGGTAGAAAGAAAAAACTGGAAATCTCTAGTTTTCCCGTTAAATTAAGATCCACTGGAATAACACATCTTTCAATAACATTCAATAACGCGTAGTTACGTGATAATACCGATTGACTAGGAGTAATACTGAAAACAACTCAACAAACATTTATACGCTCTTTATCGTAAATCAGCGAATAATATATAGCTATGTATGGTTTTAATGGTGAGAAACAAGAAACCATGGAGCTGTGTTTGCTGAGAAGAAGAAGAAAATCACTTACTTCATGATGATTTTTGTTAAAAATGCAAGGATAAACATCGAAGAAATAACATTTTTATCTATGACACGTAAATAACATCTGAAAAAGGTCGTCATATGTGGATATAATCATAGGTGCATTGCATAAAAGAGCTGTATATGATACCATTCAACTGAATGTAAGTTTAGTAGACTGCGTACTGAAGCGACAGTTTTGTGCAAGTGTCAACAGCTCTGCTTAAGTGGCATCATTGTATAGGAGAAGCCAGCTTGCAGGAGAAAGAAGAAAACAGAAAGTTGGTTTTCTTCTTGCTTTTTATGTTTTAAATCTTCTTTTGTAGGTGTTCTACGAATCTGCAAATGAGTATGTAAAGTAAGCGACTGATTTTTATATTTAAATGTTGACTAATAAGTAGTGATTTGTTCAGTAAAAAATTAAAAAAATTGTTTAGTTTCTTTTGGTAGTTTATTCAGTTCAAATAATTGAATTTCAAGTAAAAGAAATACAATAATTTCAGTATATAAGTAATATTTGTTCAGTAAGTAAATTTTAAGATCTACATGTGATGTTTCGTTCGGTAACCAAAGGGTTAATACTTCACTAACCTGTCTGGAATGCATGGTAGCGCCCTTTTTTTTCGTCTTTTGTCTTATACTTATTACTCTCTGCCTTCAGTTTGCCCATCGTTGGATGATTCATACTCTCTGTTACAGACAAACAGACATTCCAAATTTTTCTCAAGGGAATTAGAGCTTACACAATTCGTTTTTAATGACCTCTTCCATAAAGTATAAAATATGATCTTTTTCTAATCTTGATAGATAAATACAACGAGAAGAAAAAAGGGCAATCAACGAGAAGAAAAAACGGCAATAAAAAAAGTAAGTAAATAGACATAGTATCTTTTCTTTTTGCTCGTTTTCTTTTCTTTGTGCTTTTACAATTAACATCATCCTTCTGTGTATGTGACCACTTTCTATTTCTTTTTTCTTCTCTTAATTTTATGGCTTATGAACCTCCATCAAGTGCCTTAGCATTCTTGAATGCTGCCGGTCACCAACTTCGTCGTTCTATCGGCTCAGTCGATCTCTGGTGGACATGCGAAGGTCCCCAAGCGGGTGAACCCCTGCTACTAATCCACGGTCTTGGTTACCCAAGTGACATGTGGTACCGTCAAATCCCGACGCTAAACGAAGCTGGTTACCGTACAATTCGGTTTGATAATCGTGGTGTGGGTCGAACGGGTTTTGATCAAAGAGGAGGAATGTACTCGATTGAAATTATGAGTGATGATGCAGCAGCTGTTATTGAAGCGGCGGGGTACGGTGAAAAGGGAGTTAATGTGATGGGAGCATCACTGGGAGGGCTGATTGCACAAGATTTAACGTTAAGATATCCAAAGTTGGTTAAAACACTAATTTTAGGTAAAATAAACGTTATGACTATCAAATGGAAGTTGTTTGAGTTCTGATTAACAATATTATCTTCAGAAAGTTTGCAGTGGTCCGGCAATGCGACGCTTTCAGTTTAAAACATAGAATGTCTGATTTTGCTGGAAAATTCTTATCCGTAGCAGATGTAAGGGACCACAAATGGTCAAAAGAAACTGAGAAGAAAATGCCAAAATCTAACTAGAAAAGCTAAGTATACAGTTTGTAGAGCAGCTCAAGACGCATCAAACGGTATATAGTGAAGTTTTCATACCAGCATACAGGATCTGGAGTCAATTTTGGTCAGCGGTCACGCTAGCCATCTGATCCTATATCGATTTTGCTGAAAAATTCTTGTCCGTAGCAGATGGAAGCACTACAAATGGTCGAAAGAAACTGAAAAGAAAATGCCAACATCGGTTTTTCGAAGTGTAGACCGGAACCTGTCTTGTAATCAGGACCTGATTCAAAGATATGCTATAAAGACTATTTGCTGTATTCTAGACTTTTGACGAAGACGACACTTTAGTCAGATTCCTACGAAAATCGATCAAAGGCTAAGCATTTATTCGTTAGAGCTCCCGAGTCGGATTTCTTGATTTATTCTTGGCGCGAACGTGTTGTTTTATTTATAACTGAAAAAGAGATTTTTCACTGATAACTTTCTTTTATTCCAACAACGCTAAAACTGACTTAAAAGAAGAAAATTGTTCAGTCTTCGTGAGGACTAAGGCACCCATACCGCTTAACTAAATTAATGCACTGTCGAATAGGACCACCTTTAAGGGGCAAACAATGGGGAAGGCTAAGAAAACATTTTGCTCGGTAACTGGACGCTACCACTAGCTCCAGACGAACTAAAAACATCAGTTTTCCTGTGAAAAACGAAACTGTTTCATTTCCAGCTTCTTTTCGAATCTGTAGCTTTTCTTCTAAGAAATAGTGGTGTAGTGGCAGAGCTTGCCAGTTAATGAGTGACATTACTTCACTAGCGCGCAGCTTCCTTCTTGACTTTAACTCAAATTAATTAATGTTTTTCCCGAAATGTTTTCTGAGTTTTTTATGCAGGTTTTGATCATTTGACTCACGCGGGCTTTCATTTGAGATTGGCTTCTTCTGCAGTCGATGCAAACTTTGCGGTATGTTTACCCTCTTCATCTTAGCTTGTACACATCCAGGTGGTAAACACATTGCACCATTTAGCCAACAAGCCAAAGACCTCCTTTCAAAACGCAAAAACCTCTCATCTGTCGCATCAGCTGAATTATCTGTTCCTCTGATTTATCATCTGCCGACCACCTCTCGTCATCTGATAGATGAAGACATCGCTGTTCGCTTGGTTCGCCCCACTTCGGCTGAAGGTTATACCGCTCAGTTACAAGCATCTATTGCATATGAAGGAACTTATGAAAAATTAGAACAGATTAAAGTACCCGTACTGTTGATAGTGGGAAAACAGGATGGTCTGCTCAATCCGGAAAATACGGATGTCATAGCTGGACAGTTAATGGGGAATGCAAAGTCGGTCGAGGTCGTAAAACTGGAAAATTCAAGTCATCTTTTTTCAACAGATCAAACAAAAATTTGTAATGAGATGATTATCAAATTTTTAAATCAATATAAATAATAAAACATTGTACCTTTTGTGTCTGTCTTTTTTGAACTCTAGTAAACATGGCATCCTGGAAAGAGACTACTATCATCGATATATAACTTTATTCTGGGAAAAAAACAGCGTCCCTCACGATGTTGTAAAAGCATTAGCAATTAGCAGAAAATTAGGAATTATTTCTTATAAAAGATCGTTACTGTTGAAATCGGCACAACCTCACGTAAATCAACTTGGCACTTTTTTTGCAAGAAAAAGAAGCCTACGCTAGTCAAACGGTGACAGGTACACCTTACACTGAGAAAAAAGCAGTAACAGAGAACTTTTGTTCAATCAAAACAAAGATATTTTTTTAACTTTTAGATGAATGCATGACTATTGAGATTTATATATCCGCTCTTTTCTCTGAAATATTTTTTGTTTTCTTTTATCGATCACCTGGCATTATGAATCTACGTGATAAAAGAACAATGCAAAAGCAAGAAATACTGGAAAGAAAAACGAACGACTTATTTCACTCGACTCTACTTACTGAAGAAGGAAACTGCGTAACACTTTTCCGTTCATGGGCAAAGCATGGACGGTGACAAAATTTTTGTTTGTCAATGGACACACGGACAAGAAGACCTGGACTTGAACAGAAAAAAGTTGTAGGTCTCTAGTGGTACACGTAATTAGAAGAGCGTTACTTTGTTTTTAATTCAACACTGATTAATTCTAGAAGAGGCAGAGAGGAGCGAAACATAATGAGCTGAGAACAGTTATAGCGCAGTTTCAGCGCAGAAACTGACTATTTCTGGAAGATCATCACAATTATACTAGAACTTCTAATTTCGAAATGACAAAGCAATGTAGTGGATTTTCAAGCCACACAGATATTGGATATGGTAACTGTACTTCTCTACCGTGCGAAAATCTGCAGTTGAAGCAGTTATGTGTTTGTGCGACTGATCTATGTAACTCTAACTGGTCCACTTGTCAAACATCCGTCGCATCATCGTTCTCAAATCCACTATTACCATCTTATGTAATACCGCAAGTGTAGTACAAACAATAACAGATGGTTACACAAGTCAATCAGCCACAATGGATTTGTCTGTATTATTATCAACTCTAGAGTTTAGCACACAAATGAAAATCAAGTACGTCAGAGAAAATAATAGTTTATGAAAGAGGCAAGTGTAAGACTGCTACAAAATACATAATTTGTTTAGATTTTATTCAAAAAATCATAATTATATCGAGCTTGCAGTGTTTAAACTTACATCATCACCAAGATGTGATCCAACATGAAAACTTCACAAATATATATACAAAAGTTCTTTCATATAGAAAATTCTTGAGATACTGAACACCACGAAAAATAGAACAAAAGTAAAAGTGATATTTCCAAAATGAAATAATATACTGAGTATTAGTCAATAGAAAAAGAGAGAAAGTACTTGTGCTGTTTTGAAATTACGATAGAAACGAATGAAAGAAAGAAATTAATAAGAATAATCGAGTACCATATCAAAGTTATTATGCATCTTTTAAGTAGTCTTACACTTTCTCCTTTCATATTTAAAAATTTCCACTATTCTGCCTTTCTTAAATTAATCGTTTCTTTTGTATTCACCTTGCGCAGCATAATAGTCACGTCAACGTTTCATGCTGATAGAACATGCTTAGTCTAACATAGAGGTGTAGCCGTACCAATTTTCGTTCTCAACTGCCAACGATATTTCATCAGCTGACGTTCTGAATTGTCAATCGTATTTTATGAGTCGAAATCCACTGATCTAATATTCTTAGATTAGTGATTTCTTCATTTTTTCCGAGAAAGAGTGATGTGGGTGATGATCTCTTGTCTAACAAAAATGTTTAAGACATTTACCTGTTTTTCCCTTTTTTGTCTCTTTTCTTCAGTTATGTTTCCTCCTGAGAAGCTATTTAAGAGGATTAGTAGTGAGTCTCTCTACTTATACCGAACTCTAATATAACGATATCTAACGACATAATATTTTACATTGACAGCTCAGAACGCCAACGGCACAACCACTGCCGTTCCAGTTGAAATTTTTGCCAAATCAACGTGAACGAAAACAGCCCTAGTCTAATACGCGTCTGGTTCTCTCGCACAACTATTCACGTCGTACCATTTACTAAAGTCTACTATGTTTGATATTAAGGAAAAAGATCATGACACACATGTTCTTTTTTTCTAAATAGCAGTTTCTAGCAGCGCTGCTGGATTATTAAACTACGCTACGCAACAAATAACAACAGATTATTATACACCCCATCAACTTCAGCTGTAATTTCAACAAAGCAATCAAGTATGTCAGTGGAATTAATAGTTGTCTGAATTTAAACAAATTTTCTCACTACTCTCACAGATTTCGCCACATATGTGCGGTTTTGCTGCGTTGAGGATAAAGTTTCACCAATGCATAGTCATGTGTCCTCGAAATTAAAACTGTCTGAATTTAAACAAACTACATAAAGGCTGAGAAATTGAGCATGATTCTGCTGAGGAAACATAAACTATTTGATGGCCTGATTATTTGGCCACATTATTACAAATAACAACACAATCAATGCAATGGGTCAACAGACGACCAGCACACAATCCAACAGAACCTCTCATGTGGCAGATAAACTCAATAGTCAGGTCAAGAAACACTGTGCTCATGGTAGTCGTTGTCGAAAATTGAGAAAAGTTGTGAGTAAAATAGAAATTTTCTGCATTCTATTGTATACTTATACTTTTTCAGCTCAATGCTCTAAATTCGTTTAACAGTTCTAATATTGTAAGCTTCGTAGATGCAATTAATATTGCAGCATCTAATTTAGACCCATCTTCTTTCTCTCAAACAACTACACAACCTCAAAGTAAACTTCAATATGCTACGGACGGTACAGGTGCTATTTTGATCCATGTTCAGGCGACATCTAAACGATGGTAGGTGGAGCACCAAACTTATGCAGTAACTATTTCTCAACACGCCCATCCAGTATTCCCGAAAATTTTTGCTCACATCAGACTTGTGATTACCAGATCGAATGCTGACCTGAGGGAGGGGGGAAGGCCTTACGAATATATATATATAACATTTAATAAAACCATGCGTTTAAACGCGGGTTTTTTTTCATATGTATCCTTCCAACAAACATATATATAGTTTAAAATCGTTTTCTTATGTCATTCTACGCTTATATCATTTACCAATACTACGTACTTCGGATAAAAAGTTCAGATCATCTAAGTTCTTCCTCTCCAATAAGGATTATGGTTAGAGTTTTTTAGCAATGTCCCACACCATGACTATTCTTCTTTTTCGATTTTAATTGAAACAATGATTTAATTTTTGTAGTGCATAGTTAGATCGATTTTTATTTAACAAAAATCTGTTTACAATTAGAAATTACATGCAAACTAAATTTAAAAATTATTGAGCAGAAAAATATATTCACAGTATAAACAGAAAAAAAGAAGAAGAATTTCCTAGAAGAAAGACAAATGAGTATTCACAATTAATATATGCCAATGAATAAAAGCAAAAAAATGAGCTTAAGAAATTATGAGCATCCAGCCAAAAAAAAATATCAAGAGAAGGAGTATGATAGAGCACTCTTTTTGGAGAAAAAAGAAAGGAGTAATATCGATAACCCTTTTTTAAGAATTACTCCGGAGTACTCGAAGTCCATGTAAAAGGAGTATTCTAAAAACTACACTTTTTTTTGAAGTGCTCTGCAGTGCCTTGGCTGTACTTTATAAGAAGGAGTGCTCCGAAAACTACATCTTCATACTCCTAACCCTTTTTTTGACTGGACGGAAACGATCAAACGGATGCTAGAACATTGGCCGTTGTCGTCGATATTTCGTCTGCTTCTAAATGGATTTTTTTAGAGTTAATCGATTTTGTTCGCTTCACTTTCGTTTTTGCTCCTTCGTCTTCTTCCTCATCTTCCAAAATTGCCTCTTGCTCCTTTTTTTGTGCTTTTTTAGACACTATCGTTTGACCTGTTACAGACGACTCGTATTGGTTTTTTTCCGCATTTTTCGATACTGTTGACGTATTCATGACAGTTGCCGCTAATGATGCGGTATTTGCGGTTGATTCTTCAACGAGTTGTTTTTTGACTTTTGACGATTTGGAAAGTATAGATGTTTGTTCAAGATCTTCGCAGATAGAGTCTGTCGTTTGATCTGCGATGCCATATGATTGAACCCAGTACGTAATGTCTTCAGATGTGTTTTGTCGTGTTTCAATATGTTCAACTAAAGCTGAATAAATGTTATCTAAATCGGATTGCTCATCTATTTGAAATTGAATTGCGTGACAAAAATCGATGAGCGTCTCTTTAATCAGATCGAGTCGTTGTTGTTCTTCTACTTGACATTCGAGATATATTGATTTCGCTTTTTTTTGGTACGTTTTTTTTGCTATATTATATTCATTCTGGATTAAACTAATCTGTTCATTAATTTTGGTTACAGTTCCTTGTCGTTTCGATTGTGTTTCAGTGGCACGTGCACGCTGTTTAGGAGTCATTGTTGAATCACTAAATACAATTTCATATGCACTATTAGCTTGTTTAAGTTCGTCTTGAGCTTTTTTCTGTTCTTGTTTTAGGTTGTCTAATTTTGATTTGCAGTCATTCAATATTGAATAAGCTGCTTTAAATTGTTTCTTGAATTCTTTTGTTCGACGATGTTGATGAGACGAGAAACGAGTGGT